GTTCATTCACAGTATCATCTTCCTCTACATCATGTAAGGCATTTGTGTTATGATGTCCATTGGAGGACTGAATCTAGGAAYAAACATATTAACCCTAAGGCCTAGGGCAAACGTCGAACTTTCCATGCACCGAACTCAWTAAAAACAATGGATATCAGGTGATAATGAGGCTGCATTCTTTGATGTAATTAAGTTCGGTGCATGGAAAGTTCGACGTTTTCCCTAGGCCTAAGACATTCTATTTTCGTTTATACCTAACTGTTATGGTTAAGGTAAAAGCACAAGTTCATAGAGTGCAWGCAGTAAAACCATGAAATAAAAAAGTTGATACTGACAAATAGTAGCTATTTAGTGACTAATAGTTGCTAGCGCTCAACCAGAACATTTATTGAACAAAAGACACAAATGGTCTCTTGTGTATTTGTCTTTGTATGATGAATGTTCTGGTTGAGTGATAGCAACTATTAGTCACTAAATAGATACTATTAGTTAGTATTTAGTTTGACTTTATTTCACGGTTTAATTGCATGTGCTCTAGCTATGGACTTCTGGTGAATGTGAATACAGTCGACATTCCCTTGCAGACACCCTGATATTTCAGACACATCACATTTTCAAACCGGAGCAAAATCCCCCGTGAAATTTACTGACAAAGAAATGACTGTCAGTAATCAATTCTTGCTATTGCAGATGTTTGTTATTATGAACACCAAGTGACAGTTCCCAGGGTGTGCACTGTAACGAGTTGACTGTAATAAAGTAATTATGTACTTTCTAACTAACGTCTTTTCACGGTGTAAAATTTACCCTTTTATTATTACTGTTTCATTAGAAACACCGACGCAGCTCACACTAGTTAGTTATCTCTACTTTCTAACTACAGACACATGTTGTTCAAACAATTGTCAACTGTTGACCAACCATTGGCATAAATAATAAACATTAATCTCTTTATTTAAGCGTCTAGTCATTCTAGGACTTTTGCCTAGATACATTTCACTCACACACACATTACCACTACATTCAATGTTCTATGCACACAACGCTCAGCTCACATGTTGATTTTTACAGAGGGAGGAAACCAGAGAACCTGGAGAAAACCCTCGTAGCATAGGAGAGAACAACACATCAAACAAACTCAATTCACATATGGTGTCAACCGGGTTCGAACCAGTGACCTGACCTGTTGGACTCACAGTGGTGGAAGACAACGCATTAGCAGCATACATCACCCATGCTACCTAAAATGTAATACAATATAAATGCTTTTTTGGGGCTATTTAATCTATTAAATCCWGAAAACTAACCTGGTCTAGTTCTGTTAATGCATCTCTAACAAGTGCTGACGATGTGATAAATACTTCCAAAACAGCAAACTTGTTATCTGGCAAAAACGAGATGCATATTTAGTACTTTTAAGATGTTCATGAGGTGAAGGAAAACTAGAATGATTTTACTTCACCTGTTAAGATGGTCAATGAGCAYACACCAAGATATATCACTAATACCCTTTGATATATAGAGGTTATCAGTCGGCTAAGCATCTGATATGGCTGTGTATTTTTACAAGTCATGGAGTATGTTGGTGTACCCTGTGAGCAGAGTCTCCTTTTAAGTCCTCTACGGGTGAGACTCTGCTAGCAGGGTAATTTTGGTGAGTCTTTAGGTGAGCCAAAATACAAGCGACCAGTAAAAATGCAAAGCCGTATCAGATGCTTAACCAACTGATAAGCTGTTCAACATTTAATTCTGCAAAGAAATGTTCAAAATCCCTCTAAACTATATCGTACCAGATCGCCAGCAGATGAGCAGTGCTGATACAGTCTCATATCAGGCATGGTCTTTTCACGTATAACGTGCGTTCTTTGCAGAATTAAAGGATACATAGTGATATACACTAATATTAATTGTTTTCTTTTGTTTTACTTGCACTGTTAGTCATTAATTATACAACTTTGTTTCACATGCCAAACAATATCACTCTAGTTGTTTTTTGCAAGGTTTCATGGTGTACATCGAGAGACTTGAACATGATCAGGAAAAACCAACGACACGGCTCAAAACTCATGTGAAAATCATAAACCCTTGCATAATAAGATAATTTTAAATAATAATTTGGTTATAAAACATTGGAGATGTAATGTTTCTTTAAATACTCATACATAATATTAATATTATGATACAATTATTTAAATAAAGTACAAGGAGACACACCTAAAGGTAATCTGTGGAAGGCATCACAACTTTCCCAGATGGCACCAGTTGGATGATTGACTACCAGCGAACTATAGTAGAAATAAGAGTTAGGATGAGCACTTCAATGCCATTTGAAATGTATGAAACAAAACAAGTAGCAGTAGCAGCAGCAGCAGCAGTGGCAGTAGTAGTAGTAGCAGTAGCAGTAGCAGTAGTAGCTGCATTAGCAGCAGCAGCAGCAGTGGCAGTAGTAGTAGTAGCAGTAGCAGTAGCAGTAGTAATAGCAGCACAGCAGTAGCAGTAGCAGTAGTAGCAGCAGCACAGCATTAGCAGTAGCAGTAGCAGTAGCAGTAGCAGTAGCAGTAGCAGTAGTAATAGCAGCACAGCAGTAGCAGTAGCAGTAGTAGCAGCAGCACAGCATTAGCAGTAGCAATAGCAGTAGCAGTAGCAGCAACAGTAGCAGTAGCAACAGTAGCAGTAGCAGCAGCAGTAGCAGTAGCAGTAGCAGTAGTAATAGCAGCACAGCAGTAGCAGTAGCAGTAGTAGCAGCAGCACAGCAGTAGCAGTAGCAATAGCAGTAGCAGTAGCAGCAGCAGCAACAGTAACAGTAGCAACAGTAGCAACAGTAGCAGTAGCAGCAGCAGTAGCAGTAGCAGTAGCAGTAGCAGTAGCAGTAGCAGTAGCAGTAGCAGTAGCAGCACAGCAGTAGCAGTAGTAATATAGTAGACAGTTTATAATTATATTACTTAAGTGTAATAGTATAATTAGTGATATCATTATAACGAAACCTTACCTTTTAGAACCTTCTTTCATTAAAGAATCTACAAAATGTTTAGCATCATGTACAATGTTGACAATGGCTATTTGCAATCTTTTATGAAGAGCTTTCCCTGTGTTAAAATAAAGAAAGAGTTTTGTTATATTCTGGAAAATGAGAAGGCCAATAGTTAGCGCATTTAATAATAATGATAATAGATACTTAAAAGCACATAAAACGAGTCTCTATGCTCTTTACAATATCAAGACCTATACAAATGCAAACTAATCTATCTATCTATCTAGGTAAAATTATTTTTTTTTAGAAAAATGGTACCATGTGAGTCTACTCCCCATTATGAGCGCTCTAATTGAATTCCAATGAGCGCTCGCATTTGACTAAGTTTGGAAGGGAATCAAGGGTTGTGTAGTGGTAGTACACTCATCTCTCATCTCTGGAGTCTCGGGTTCGATTTTCAAACTCAGCATCACAT